CCCCCTACCCTGTCCATAGACATGGTTGAAAGGGAATATCCCAACCATTGTGTTATCAGTTTGGAAAACAAGTTGACTTTTTGGGGCTGGGTATAGACATGATACATGTAAATATCATCTGTTCCAAGAAGGTGAAGTTCTACTTCACAGTCTGGGAGATCAGTGTCTGTAAAGATGGAGCTGTCCTTTAATTTGAACCAAAAGATTTTAGAAGTACTAAAATCAGTTCCAAGTTTGCATGCAGAAGATCACAAATGTCATCCAAATAAAAAAAAAAGAAAGAAAGACCAGGCCAAATCATTTCATGTCTATTTACCATGGCCGGAGCTTCAATGTTCCCGCACTGCTAGGTCTGCCTGTTCCATTTTGTAAGCTTGCCCTTTGAAGCTATTCTCATATAATGGTTACAAGCAACATCAAAACCCAGGAATGTTTTCAATCAGCATTGGCTGCGGATCTTCACGCGCATTCTTTGGTTTATTTGATGAAAGGAAAACAAAATTCAGCGGTAAACAGTTTTCATAATCCCTTTATGTATTAAAATGGCCGGTCATGGATAAGAGCACAGTCTTTGGTTATCAAAAAAAAATTCTTGAGTCTACTTTACTCAGCAATAATATAATTCACACTCTGATCTAGATTACAGGCAGTGTCTGAAACAGAAGTACAATAATCAAATATTCCCTCATATGGACCCAAAATATAAAAAAAAGAGTTTTTTTTCCCTTCATAATTTATCATGGATATAGCAAAATGTAACTGTCCAAGTCCCTCTGTACGCTTTCTGACCACTGTGCTGACATTATATGGAGATTTTTTTTTTCTTTTTTTTTTCATTGAGGAATCAACTAAAGCAGCTTAGCAGTACAATAATACTGACAGACAGCATCTTACACTATTAGTTTAACACTGAGGTGAAGGCAGTGGACATTAATGTGACAACAAGGAGGCATTGCTGGCAGGACCCGAGGTTTATGTCAGTCCAATCTCTTCCAGTACGCTTCGTGGTGTCTCTGCTTCCTGTGGAGGAAACACATGGAGGGCTTCGATCAGTTCCACACTACAATACAGAGCAGCAGGTAAGAAGCAAGCCACAATCTGGAGGCAATAGATGAACTGAAGCATTTGTCATGATGTTATATTAGTTATTCATATAGTCATAATCAAATCATCTCTGAATTGGTGCTGATACTGTCCTTCCTTCTGGAGGGGGGCTACTTTTGTTCCCCATGGTCCCTGTGTGTATTGTAAAGAAGCCACTGGCTTTCGCAACCGGGCTGGCTCTTGCACCCGCCCACTGAGCAAAGAAACAGACCTGAGAGAGAACTTTCTCTCATAGGTCCACTCCTCCTCTTAGTGGGTGGAGTTTCAATAGCCTGCCTGCTATTAGCTATTGCAATTTGAAATAGCCAATGGCAGCCTGGCTATTGATCCCCATTACACTCTTCGGTTTACAATACAATCGGGTTACGATGGGTTTATTAGAACGTAACCCGATTGGAAACCGAGGAGTGTCTGTACACATAAGTAACTTTTTCTATACACTGAGTGGCCAGATTATTATGACCACCTGATGTTTGTTGGCAAATTAGCTATAATGTCGCGCAAAGGTTGCTAGAGGGCCAGACCGTTATAAATAGGGAAGCAGGTTGTTTACCACGACAGTAGAAGTGATTTTTTAACAATTTAACAGCTTTTGAACGTGGGATGATTGTTGGCGCTCGGAGCCATGGAGCGAGTATCAGCAAAACAGCAGAATTCGTTAAATGTTCAAGAGCAGCTGTTGTTAAAGTGTTTAAAGACTGGACTGTCAGCCGAAAATCTGGGTCTGAACGTGCGAATTGTGGCTGTCAGCAACTAGTCAATGTTAGGGCAGAACGGAGGGTGGCAAGTCTGGTACAAGACAACAGAAGGGCAACAGTGCAGTGTCAGATTCCTCGCATCATCTTTCAACATCTCGTGGAGTCACGAGGCGGCCCAACGAAGTCATCTTGTGGCCCAACGAAGTACTGATGGGGTGGTCATAATAATCTGGCCACTCAGTGTATATCTTGTTTTCTTATGCAATCTCCTGAAATATCCATTATTACCAATTAGAAATGTTCAGATTTGGCTTGTTAGTTTATGGTGTTGACACACCACAGAGCAATGTTGTCCCTGGGCTCACATTCCATAATACAAAATTAAAATGTGAACTTTTCTCTCCCACACAATGGATGCTTCAAAACCCCAAACAGGTAAAATACAAGATAACTAAATAATTCTGTTTACAAAGTTTATCATTTCACTGCTCTGCTTTCAAATATCACACTTTCTGGAAAAGCGGTAATACACTATAAGGATGCTTAAAGTCTTTCTCACTTTCAAAGAGCACATTTATTTTCAATCGTTCACGGAGACTGTTTACTGTGGTTACTTTTCCAATAATATAGGACAGCAGATTAACAAATTGTATATGGGAAAATTAGTCCACTATGGCTTCCAGTGGATGGCAATATGGTCATAGACTAGATATGTAGCAGGAAAGTACATCTACAGCTTCTCAGCCAATTCCATCCCCTGCTACCAATACTCAGCCACTAAAGAGAAAAGACGTATCAACATAATTATTAATAGAAAAGTGATGTTTACATTAACATTGAAAGAAGACTTACTTTAGCATCCTAAAACAAGGGCAGAGCAATGAAAGGGAAAAAAAGATTATATTAAAACAACAATTTTTAAACAATTTTAAGAACATCATTAATAACCTGTCAAACAAAATCACCATTGAAAGTGAGCCCTCACAAGAGAAAAGTAATGCATGGCAGTGACAAGAAGAGGCGGTGTCCTATTTTATGTGATCCACCCCAACATTTCCAGCTCCACCTACTTATTACATACTGTACACATTGCCAGAATGTTGGTTGGTTACATAATCTGGGATTCAGGAGCCAGATATTACATTCTAGCATCCGATGTGTAGTCCAGAGGAGCCATCTAGCTTCCAATGACAAAAGGAAAACGCCCCAAAAAGGTTCCATATTTAGTATTGTTAGTAGGATTACTTACTTGGCCTATACAATCTTTCCATGTTATCTACAGTAACATTACCAAGAATACAAACCTAGGAGTAATACTTCCTTGTGTAGGTTTATAATTACCGTGGCAAGGGGGCAGAGATGGAATGTCCAGAGATAGAAGTGGATTACATAAACTATCAGTGTCTACCCAAAATTGGTATACCTACTATGGGTAAAAACCAAAACAATCTGTGTGTAACCATGTGTATATACTGTATATATATATATTTTTTTTTTTCATTAGACTCTTTTACATTCCAGGTAGACCCAATGGGAAAAAAAACATCACTAT